CCGCCACGCCATGGCCTCTGCCTATCTCCTGCGAGAGGAGGAAAGGCCGTTTAGCTGGGCTGGGCCTGGAACAGTGATCGCTAGGCCTAGTGCAGAGGAGATTTACTCTAATTCTTATTTTTTTTATACTGTTCCTTTATTCCCTCTCAGTTTGGCAATTTAATTAAATACCAAATGATTTTAGTTGAACTTGATATTTATCATATAAATACTACACAATGTTTTCAGCTAGCACAACAAGACTTAATTTATTTTGAATATTTTAAATATTTATTTAATTTAAAAGGCTTAATTTAATGCTAGTGGTCCACTAAAATAATTCTCAGGGGCAATCTGGGCATCCAATGGAGTTGATTTTATTTTTACCAATGCTTGGAGATTTTAGATCATATCATACACATTTTTGTTTTACTGTTTGAAGAAGTAATAAATTGACTTTCAAATTTAAATTTGAATTTGACTTTGATTTTTATCGAAAGGCGGTTTGGCTTAGGAAAATATGGTGACAAGGCATCATTAGCAGAGTTTACTATAGCTTTAATTATCCAGGCGTTACATCTTTTATCATGAATTACAATATCTAGTCAGTCTTTGATCTTTAAAGGAGCTTTGCATTTATGTTTTGCGGACTCAGAAAGGGCTAGCGAGATACCATCTTGTTATATCATATTATAATTTTTTTGAGAAAGTTTTGTCATCCGAGATTTATTATTATTGCTCGCTACTTGATTATGTCATTGATATGAGTAAACATGAGACCTAAGAGTTTTTGTGAATATGGTTAGTTCATAATCTTTGGTAAAAACTTGAATACTGGCTTTACATATTTACAACAACAAGAGCACACAAAGTTTGTAAAAAAAATTCTTTATCACTTTCAGTTTGTCAACTGAATTGCTTGAGGACAAGCAAATGTTTAAGCTTGGGAGTTGATACGTCTTCGCCGTATCTATTTTTCCAAACACTTTTGCCCTTGTTTTGGACTCTAACTTGCATTATTTGAATGGAACTAACCCGGACTGACGCTGTTTTCAGCGGAATTGCCATGGTGTTATTTATGTGCAGAAACAAAAATTCTTGGAATGGCCTGAAACTCCACGGAGCGTATTTTTGGAAATAATAAAAAATACTGGCAAAAGATCAAGGCCAGGGGACCCACACCCTAGCCACGAGGGTGGGGGCGCGCCTGCCCCCCTGGGCGCGCCCCTTACCTTGTGGGCCCCCTGGAGCTCCTCCGACCTCAACTCCAACTCTATATATTTGCTTTCAGGGAGAAAAAAATAAGAGAGAAGGATTCATCGCGTTTTACGATACGGAGCCGCCGCCAAGCCCTAAAACCTCTTGTGAGGGCTGATCTGGAGTCCGTTCGGGGCTCCGGAAAGGGGAATCCATCGCCGTCGTCATCATCAACCATCCTCCATCACCAATTTCATGATGATCACCGCCTTGCGTGAGTAATTCCATCGTAGGTTTGCTGGACGGTGATGGGTTGGATGAGATTTATCATGTAATCAAGTTAGTTTTGTTAGGGTTTGATCCCTAGTATCCACTATGTTCTGAGATTGATGTTGCTATGACTTTGCTATGCTTAATGCTTGTCACTAGGGCCCGAGTGCCATGATTTCAGATCTGAACCTATTATGTTTTCATCAATATATGAGAGTTCTTGATCCTATCTTGCAAGTCTATAGTCACCTAATATGTGTTATGATCCGGCAACCCCGAAGTGACAATAATCGGGACCACTCACGGTGATGACTGTAGTTTGAGGAGTTCATGTATTCATCATGTGCTAATGCTTTGGTCCGGTACTCTATTAAAAGGAGGCCTTAATATCCCTTAGTTTCCACTAGGACCCCGCTGCCACGGGAGGGTAGGACAAAAGATGTCATGCAAGTTCTTTTCCATAAGCACGTATGACTATATTCGGAATACGTACATGCCTACATTACATTGATGAATTGGAGCTAGTTCTGTGTCACCCTATGTTATGACTGTTACATGATGAACCGCATCCGGCATAATTCTCTATCACCGATCCATTGCCTACGAGCTTTCCATATATTGTTCTTCGCTTATTTACTTTTCCGTTGCTATTGCTATCATCACTACAAAATACCAAAAACATTATTTTTGCTATCATTACCTTTTGCTACCGTTACCAGTACTATCATATTACTTTGCTACTAAACACTTTGCTGCAGATATTAAGTTTCCAGGTGTGGTTGAATTGACAACTCAACTGCTAATACTTGAGAATATTCTTTGGCTCCCCTTGTGTCGAATCAATAAATTTGGGTTGAATACTCTACCCTCGAAAACTGTTGTGATCCCCTATACTTGTGGGTTATCACCTTCTTGTTCTTTTTCTTCAGAACTGGCTTAAAACAGTTTGTATGCCTCTTTATCAACTTCAACATGAACTTCCGGTGGAGTGTCGTAGGGCTGCACCCGAGTTTCCAAGCAAGTGACCTGATAGTAAACCTCTTGTTAAGTGGGATGCTAGGTATTTGATCTAGATTAATGTCCTTTGGCTTTCTTCCATAGTTCTTTTTTCTCTGACTTGAAACATCCACCTCCAGACCTTGAGCAATTTGCTTCATTGCTTTCTTCCAAACTCTTTGTACATTTCATACACCCACTCCAAAAAAACTTGCAATCTTTTTCTTGTCCCCTCTACTCATGCACGGTGTGTGCATTGCAACATAAGCAGCATACTTTTGCTTGTCATCGAGGCTATCCCTTTTTTAAACTGATTTCTCAACACCTGCACGAAGAAATACAACAACGGAAAAATGATCAAATGATCAAAGGAAAAATGGTCAAATGAACATAAGCATTCAAATGATGATATGATCATATCATCAAATGATCAAATGATGATATGATCATATCATCAAACTGTATTCTGTAATTTAACTGATTTATTTTCTTCCACCATTAACTGAAAATTTCTGAAATGCCATTGTAGCTGTACCTGCATGTTGTACTCCTGCATCTTCATCCATTTGTACCCCTACATCTTCATCCATTTGTACTCCTGCATCATCATCACCCATTTCATCTTCTGCATCTTCTGCAGGTGGAGTGCAGTTGAGGTCTGGGACAACCATCTTCTGCTGCTTTCAGGTACCGCTGTTGTAATCTGAATTGTACTCCAACAGTAATTTGATAGTATTCCTGCATCAGTAGATTCAGATTTTGTCAAATGGTTAGATCAAATTATTGGCTAGTTAAACCAAATGCTCATCAAATTGTTTATGTTTGTAGTTCATTCCTCTCTTTGCTACGTGGTCATTGTTTCAGGACAGATCAAGGTACAGCTTGCATTGCATTCAAGCAAGTTTGCTGTAGATTATCAGTTCAAGATGTTTTGTCAAGTCTTATTACAATAATAAAATCTCTTAGCAATGATATAAAAACACTCAAATCTCTCCCAGCCAACAGAAGTTTTGTCAGGTCTTATTATAGTACTACTCCAGTCATGAACCTGTTTTTGTTGTGTGTGTGTGTTCTCAGATTTTTTTACTCCAGTCTATTTTCAATAGTTTTCTCTCATGATCCTCTAATGAGAAAAGGAACATGTGTAATCCAGATGACAACATTTTCAGTCTATGATTTTTATTTAAAGTAAATCAACAGAATGGCAGAGGTTCTTCCTGAATTTTCAAAATCAATGATGCACGGTCAACAGTTAATACAGTTTGGTCTGCTACTCCTGTTGTCTGAAATGCTACAGTTTAATGATTTGCTACTCCTATTGTCTGAATGCCAGTCTCAGCTCGAGGTGAGCATGCTGGCCCTTACCCTAACTTTGCTAGTCTTCTCGGTTTATCAATCCAAAACTTATTCATTATCATCTGTCCCTGAACAATTCTCAGCTTTTGTTTTGCTATGGAGACGTGGTGGTCTTGTGTCTGATCTCTTTGCCTAGTCACAAGTCGCCACACATTGAGGTTAGTACTGTACAGAGGGTAATCTGGAATCGAACAATCAAATGTTTTGCAACTCGGTACATAAACTAGTGTTACTTATGCGCCTTCTAAATTCATTTTCATGCTGTTGAACACATCACTTAAGCCATAGGGTTGGATGCGGACGACAATACGCCATAGGTGATTCTGACGTAGCGTGTTCTAGTTGAAGTTTAACATATTGATGTACTTCTGAAATGCTACAGTCAACAGTTAATTCAGTTAACTTGTTCAAATTATTTGTTGAATTATTGGCAGCAAACATTTCTTGAATCAAATGTTGGCACTTCTGAATTACTCTTGACTACTCTTAAATCAGTACATCTCTTAAATCACTTGAGTATTGTTTATGCTTGCAGTTCGTTTCCAGCGACAACAGAGAGATGTACTCCAGCAGAGGTTCAAATGATCAGAGAGAGATGAACCTGGGCACCAGCCGAACCCAGCAGCAGCTCCTGGACGTGGGAGAGGAGGAGCACCTGCGCCTGGATGCAGTGGCCGGAGGTGGGTACGGAGGTGGAGATGGAGAAACAGCCTGTGCTCGCCTCCACCTGGGCGCAGGTCACGAGGAGCCCCTGTGTGGGCGGCAGCCGAGCACCAGCTCTACTCCAGCGGCGGCAGCGCCTGGGAAGGGGGCGGAGGTGGAGATGGAGGGCGAAAGCGGAGGTGGAGGGCGAAAGCGGAGGTGGAGGTGGAGGCGGAGGTGGAAGTCGATCGATCGGGATTCAAATTTTGAAGGGATCACCGACACCGCCACACTAGACATCGATGTCATGTGTATACCTGAAAAACTTTCCTGCTGCACACGTTCAACACCGCCACCAAAACGGCAGGACAACTGACCCGCGATCAATTTGCCACTTCCCAGACCAGGCGCGTCCTCCCCACCCCCGACGGCTCACGCGCCGCCGCCGCCATCGCCACCGCCGCTCCTCCTCCTCCACATCCACCTACCCGCAACCGCCAGGTGTCCAGCTTCCGCCTCCACCTCCGCAACTCCTTCTCTCCCACCCCGCCCATGTGACCATGTTCCGCATGCGCCTCCGCAACTCCTCCACCATGCCCATGTCCCGCATCGGCCTCCTCCTCCGCCGCCTCTCCTCCTCCTCCTCCTCCTCCTACTTCTCCACCTCCACCTCGCCACCCTCACGGTCACGGTCATGGTCTCCCCGCGACGCCTTTGCCGCGGCCACGGAGCGCGTCCGTGCCGGGACGCTCAGCCCGGAGGACGCACACCACCTGTTCGACCAATTGCTACGGCAGGACACTCCGGTCCACGAGCGCTCCCTGGGCGGCTTCCTTGCCGCCCTCGCCCGTGCGCCAGACTCAGCTGCCTGCAGAGACGGCCCCGCCCTCGCCATCGCCCTCTTCAACCGCGTATGCCGAGAAGAAGCAGGCCGGCCGGTGGTGCCGCCCACAGTCTACACCTACGCCATCCTGATGAACTGCTGCTGCCGCGTGCGTCGTCCGGACCTAGGGCTTGCCTTATTTGGCCGCCTCCTAAGGACAGGCCTCAAAACAAATGAGATCGTCGCCAGCACCGTCCTCAAGTGCCTCTGCTGCGCAAAACGGACAGATGAAGCAGTAAACGTGCTGATTCATAGGATGTCCGACCTCGGCTGTGTGCCAAATGAGTTCTCATACAAAACAGTTCTGAAGAGCCTGTGTGAAGATAGCAGGAGCCAGCGAGCGCTCGATCTGCTCCGGGTGATGGCAAAAGGAGATGGCTGCTCCCCCTGCGTGGTGTCATACAGCACTGTCATCTATGGCTTCTTTAAGGAAGGAAAAGTAGGCAAGGCATGCAATCTATTTCATGAAATGACGCAGCAAGGCGTTGTGTCTGATGTGGTGACATATAACTCAATTATCGATGCACTGTGCAAGGCCAGAGCTATGGACAAGGCTGAGCTATTCCTTCGGCAGATGGTTGATGATGATATTCGACCGAATGGAGTGACATATAATGCAATGATCCATGGATATTCCACTTTGGGCCAGTGGAAAAAGGCGACTCAAATGTTTAGAGAAATGACAAGCCGCGGTCTTGTACCAGATACTGTCACTTGGAACTCATGCATGGCCTCCCTCTGCAAGCATGGAAGAAGCAGAGAAGCTGCAGAACTTCTTTATTCCATGGCTGCGAAGGGCCACAAGCCTAATGTCGTATCCTACTCTACTTTGCTTCATGGGTATGCAAACGAAGGGTGCTTTGCTGATATGGTTAATCTCTTTAATTCAATGGTAGGCAAAGGTATTGTACCGGACCACCATGTTTTCAACATATTCATTAATGCATATGCTAAGTGTGGGATGATGGATGAAGTTATGCATATGTTGACTGAAATGCGGGAACAAGGAATGAGTCCGGATGTGTGCACCTATGTAACCATAATAGCTGCACTTTGCAGAATGGGTAGGCTGGCTGATGCTGTGGACAATTTTAATCAGATGATTGGGAAGGGAGTACAGCCAAGCAAAGTTGTTTATCGCTCCTTAATTCAGGGATTCTGTACACACGGTGATTTGGTGAAAGCGAAGGAGTTCATTTTTTAAATGACGGACAAATGTATTTGTCGTCCTACCATTGTCTTCTTCAATTCAATAATGCATAGTCTGTGCAACGAAGGAAGGGTCATAGATGCGCACCATATCTTTGACTTGGTTATAGACATTGGTGAGAGACCTGATCTCATTGCATTTAATACTCTGATTGATGGATATTGCTTAGTCGGCAACATGGAGAAAGCACTCGGTGTACTTGATTCCATGGTATCAGCTGGCATTGAGCCTACTGTTGTTACATATAGCTCACTTATTAGTGGGTATTGTAAGAGTGGAAGGCTCGATGATGGTGTTATTCTATTCAGAGAAATGGAGCATAAGAGAGTTAAACCTGACACTGTTGCATATAACATCATACTGGATGGGTTATTTCATGCTGGGGCAACAATTGCTGCAAAGAAGTTGTTCAATGAGATGATTGAAAGTGGAACAGCAGTGAGCATTTCCACATACAGGATAGTTCTTGGAGGATTTTGTAGGAATAATTGCACCGATGAAGCGATCGTCTTGTTCCAGAAATTAGGTGCAATGAATGTGAAGTTCGATATTGCAATACTCAATACCATGATTAATGCAATGTACAAGGTTCAGAGAAGAGAAGAAGCTAACGATTTGTTTGCTTCATTACCAGCCTGTGGGCTCGTACCTAATGCCTCTACTTACGGAGTAGTAATACAGAATCTTCTGAAAGAAGGATCGTTGGAAGAAGCTGACAATATGTTTTCATCAATGGAGAAGAGTGGTTGTGCTCCCAGCTCTCGTCTTATAAATTATATCATCAGAACGTTGTTGGAAAAGGGGGAGATAGTCAATGCAGCAAATTATATGTCTAAAGTTGATGGGAAGATCATCTCTTTTGAAGCTTCGACCACTTCGTTGTTGTTGTCTCTCTTTTCGGAGAAAGGCAAATATCAGGAACAATTACAATTGCTCCCTGCGAAATACCAATTCTTTGGTGGAGTCATTTGATGCGCTGGACTTGGTAGATAAGTTTTGGCATGGTTCGGAGCTCCCTTTTAACCATGTCAACATGTGTTCTCTTCCATCCACTCGCCAAGACCGGTCTGGGTGATAATGCCGTGTGCCATGGTGTTCTGCTCTGATGTGTGGCTACTGGGCGTGTATGCTATGGTCATTTTGTTCCGTCTTCATGCTGTCTCCTTGTGCAAGGGTTGTCTGGTGTGTGGTGCTTTTGCTAATGGTAAAAATATTGTGGGTGTTCGGGGTCATATGATGGTGGATCTTGTCCCAGAGTTTATCGAGTTCTTCCTCACGGTGTACTCTGGTCTCACTGCACCCTGATGTGCTTGATGGTATTGTTTGGAACCCAGCTGCGGCCTGCAGATGGTTTCCATTCGGCTAAATTGGTGTATGATGTGCAGTTCCAAGGTGTTATGCCATCGCATAATATACCTTTGTTTCTCAATCATTTGTCTTGGGATTTGAATGTGACTGTGTCGGATTCATGACTTGTTAGAGTGAAGCAATTGGGCTCAGCTCACAGGAGCATGGGGGAGGTCTGTACTATTCCTGAAATGCTGTGAGATCTGGAGTGAGTGTAACATGAGGATGTTGGAATTGAAAAGCATCCTGATCTACAGGTAGATGATGATAATTTTGGGAGGAGGCAAGTCTTTGGCGCCTAGCTGGAGCGAAGTTCTACCGAGGGTAGTCAGGGCTCCAGCACCACCTCTTGTGACGGAGGAAAGTGAATCAAACCATTTCCTTGTAGAGAACTTGCAGATGATACCTCCTGATTTATATGGAACTTCTTGACCTAAAGAACCTCTACTTTAGACGGCAATATAAGCTCTGCAATGTTGAAAGTAAAATATGCATAGGGAGAGAAGTGGAGGTTGGAGGCAGGTCTCTTGTATGTGCAACCAGGTAAATTTCTTGTCCGGTGCTTGTACCGCTTTTAAAATGTGAAGTAAAATCATCGCTGGACGATATCTTGGGGTGTTGATATATCAGTGGTTTAATGAATAATTAATCAAACACATCAAGCAGGATAACAACAACAACAACAACAAAGACTTTAGTCCCAAACAAGTTGGGGTAGGCTAGAGGTGAAACCCATAAGATCTCGCAACCAACTCATGGCTCTGGCACATGGATAGCAAGCTTCACGCACCCCTGTCCATAGCTAGCTCTTTGGTGATACTCCAATCCTTCAGGTCTCTCTTAACGGACTCCTCCCATGTCAAATTCGGTCTACCCCGCCCTCTCTTGACATTCTCCGCACGCTTTAGCCGTCCACTATGCACCGGAGCTTCTGGAGGCCTGCGCTGAATATGCCCAAACCATCTCAGACGATGTTGGACAAGCTTCTCTTCAATTGGTGCTACCCCAACTCTATCTCGTATATCATCATTCCGGGCTCGATCCTTCCTCGTGTGGCCACACATCCATCTCAACATACGCATCTCTGCCACACCTAACTGTTGAACATGTCGCCTTTTAGTCGGCCAACACTCAGCGCCATACAACATTGCGGGTCGGACCGCCGTCCTGTAGAACTTGCCTTTTAGCTTTTGTGGCACTCTCTTGTCACAGAGAATGCCAGAAGCTTGGCGCCACTTCATCCATCCGGTTTTGATTCAATGGTTCACATCTTCATCAATACCCCCATCCTCCTGCAGCATTGACCCCAAATACCGAAAGGTGTCCTTCTGAGGTACCACCTGGCCATCAAGGCTAACCTCCTCCTCACATCTAGTAGTACTGAAACCGCACATCATGTACTCGGTTTTAGTTCTACTAAGCCTAAACCCTTTCGATTTCAAGGTTTGTCATCAAGCAGGATGAACTAAGGAATTTACTATGCAGCTAGTTTTTGTGTATTATACTCAGCTTATATTGTAGAAACAAGTCATGATATCAAGTATTACTCTCATTTTAGTTATGATAAATGCCCAACTTGTTGTGAAATCAATTGTCGTCCTTCCTTCTATATGCACAATGCTGGTTTTGTTTTGTACTCCCTCTGTAAACTAATATAAGAGTGTTTAGATAACTAAAGAGTTATCTAAACACTCTTATATTAGTTTACAGAGGGAGTATCTTTTTTCGTTGTTGGAGTTTACTGGTGCTATAATGATACTCACTTCTTTGGTATATTCAGCCTGTTTCAGAACGATGCATGGCATGATCTTCCAGCAAACTTGCCAGATCCCAATCCCATAGATACTGCCAAGCCAGCCTGAGGGTGTACAGACTGGCTCGTTCTTCTCATCGCGGCCAGTTTTACTGAAGACCGTACTTTTTGGTGATCTCATGGATACCGCCGACCCAGCCTGGGGGTCTACAGCCTCTGACTTGCTCACTCGTCTCATTGTGGTCAGTGTTACTGAAGATCCTACCTAGTGGTGTTCATTGACTACATTATAACCACTGTTAGTTATACACCACACACTGTTCGCATTGGAGTTCCCTGACATCCCCTGATGCACCCATGAGATATCCCTTCTTTATTTCGAAAATTTGAGGTCTTCTTCCTTGCGCTCACCGAGTAATGGCTTTGGTTCTGCGTGACATGCAGGGCCACCTCGCCCACCACGTCCATCAGGGAATGGGGAGGGAATGCGAGGACTACCGCGCGCACATCAACAGAGGGCACGGCAAGGAAGAAGGACTTGTTGGTGCAGGTGCAGCGGGGCGACGGGAAGTGGCTATCCATCAGGGAGCCACCGCTGAGAAGGATGCAGCCAGCCTATGATGTATTGACGCGGCTGAAGTGCAGCACCAAGTCTTTTGCCGGTGCTGTTGTCATCTCTCTGTCTGTATTTTGTACAGTATTATGCAAAAAAGGAAGAACAGAAAGGATAGAGTGGTATACATGTTTGGAATTTGTTTCAAGCTTTTTTGGATGGTTGTAGATCAGATGTGCTAGCTAGGCACGTCATTTAGCTTGGTTTGAAACTCTAGATAGATTAATTCGTGCTAATAAGATTGAGGTTTGGTTCATGAGCGTATGATAAAAGGTTTTTAATGGGAAATTATAATCAAATTTATGACCAAAGGAGTTGGTGACTTTGTGCTTTCTCTGTGTACGGATTACCCTACATGAGCCCTCTGTTTCTCTGTCCCTGTAATAACTGTCAGTTTGCGAAACTATACAAAACCTAAGGTAGGTATAGTTAACCAAGTGGCATTGCAAAACTTCCAGATACTCCTGTTGTGCAGATTTTGTTTGGCTAGTGTGGCGCAATTGCCAGTTCAAACCTTCTCATCATGCTCAAATATTGTAAGCATGATCCCTACTTTTTCCTGGGACACACATGACTCTGAATAAACAGTGAAGTAAAACAAACACTCCACACTATATACATACATCCTCCATCCGAAAGCTTCAATCTGTATGTTTTTCTCCAGTTTGTTTCTTTTTTTCCTCATCTTCCATTCTCTGATTATACATTTTCCAACACTGGACCACAAGAGTCTAGGCAGGACATTAGGAGAAGGTATTTCAGTCATTTATATGGTCAGAAACTCGGAGGGGCCAAAATGAGCCAACAGAAATTGTTTGAGGATATATTTTGAATACTGCTAAGACCAACTCTGAGCTCTCGGAAATACATAATAAAAAAAGTACAATGTGAATAAGATGTGAAATAGTACTACCATGACGTCAAAAGAACAATGTGATTTCTCACAAAAAAAAAGAACAATGCAATGATAAATGCCAGTACCACAATGCTAGAAGCCCAAATTACAAATATCACTGACAGGATTATCACATGTTTCTTCGGAAAGAGAACAGGAATATGTGAGGAGGCAGGGATTATAGAAGGTTGTACTATATCTGAATAATGTAGTATTGAGCTAGAAATGCAGAAAGAAAGAAAAGAAAAGCAATCAACTCATGCATTCGATTCGACTATCGTCCAAGTTGCACCTGTGTCGCAGCCATCTGATCTCCTCTTGGCCGAAGCTACCTCCCTCCCGCTTGAGCTTCGACCAAACCTCACGACCCATGGGAACCTTATATACATGGTGAGCCTTGATGAATTCTGTTTCCGAGGAAGCTAGGACCGTGCTTAGAGTAAGTTGGGGTGCAGCCAGCCCCCTTTCTAGCAGCCAACTGTACATCAGCATCTTAAGTTTGCTTTTGTGCACAGTGAACTCTAGGTACCGTGGGAACGCAGGGAGAGCACTCAGGGGATAACCCGCCACATGCACAAGGAAGGATATCTTATAAGCAAGGGCGTCCGTCTTCTGATTCAGAATCCGAGGAGCAACCTTCACCATGTGGGCTACATGTTTTGGGTCTAACCCTTTCTCCACTAGTTTGTTGTACCGATCTTGCAGTTTTGTGCCTTTTCCACGGATAGCTTTGAGTGCCTTCTCCATATCTTCCGAGCCTTCGACAAATCCTATGCGTCTTAAGAATTCTCTCTTCTCCTTGACACAGGGTTCAGGTTTACATCTCGGCAGTCTGCTGACCTTCGAGCCAATCGTATAATTCATCGACTGACATGGTTCCTCCATTATGATCTTTCGCAGCCGCGCCTTGCCCACATTGAGTTGCGCAAGAATGGTGCTCGTGGCTTTCATGGGGGCAGCACCGAACATCCATCCGTGAGAATCCAAAATCTTCTTCACATCACAATAGCTTATGCCAATGTCATGTAAGAAACATGATCCCTTCGATATGTTCCAACCGACATCCACGCTGTCAACATTGGGGTGGTTCAGAAAAAGATCAAGTAGCTCCCTTTTTCCAGATCCGACCATTTGCATGGTGTCAACTGTGGAGTGTAGCTCCCCACCAGACTGTTCCAACAACAAATGTGGATTTTTCCTCACCACTTTACCAATGTCATCCTTGGTGAACTCCAGATCGCTCAAGGACTGAAGGGCTTGTACCATTTTTGGCCAATTATAGGACACCCTTTCAGATAAGAACTGGCCGATCCAGTCTCGCTGAATCCCAATGTCGTCCAGCCACAGCAAGAACGTCTTCAGTT